CTCCTCAGCTGGCTCCTTACCAAACTTTTCTTTCCTGTACCTTCCATTTTGAGTTCTGGCATAGACCATGAGCCCAACCAACTTCCATCACATCAGATGAAGTCTCCACATCAAACTTTTGGTAACAAACATTTAAGTTAGAATGCACATATAACGTTTTGGCTGGGTTTTGCTCAGATCCCATATACAGATCCCATATACAAGTGAGGCAAAGATGGTTGGCTGTGGATGCTCCAGGTAGTCATCTACTCAAAGTACTGAGACCTCTATAACAGGGACTTCATACAAGGGTGTAAGTGATCCAGAAAAATGAAAGAGAATTTTAAAAGAACTTCTCAATTCATTGAGCAATCAGAAAAAAATGTACACTTAATGTTAATGAACACTTAATGTTCAATACCCTCTGTGCTCAGTATCCCAGCTTCTTTCCCTTCCAGTCACTCTGAAGTGCATCATTCCAGGTTAACCTGAGGAAGAAACAAGGGTTCACCTAACATCTTGCTCTCTCATTGGGGTCCAGATTGCTTGGGAATTGGGGGTTCTTGGTTGAATGCTTAGATCTCTGGAGAGCAGACTCCTCATGGTCATGACTTTGTGAGGCTTCCTTTACCTTCTATACCAGATGCCCTTTTGTATCACTGATTTTTCACTTTAGGGTCTTGCTTCTCTGCCTGGGCCTTTTGACACACTAATTTTATAATTACATATCACAAGTAGCAAACAAGATAGGCACATATGACCGGATCCATCCTTTTATTGGCTAAGATACCATTTTCATGAAGCTTTTGCATGGGATTGCCTACTAATACTATCTAATTTCAGCTTCCTGAGTAGCTAAGATTCCACACATGAGCGAGTGTAATTGCTCATTCTTAATTGCTGGTCTTAAATTAAAAGAAGGAAAGGGTACTTTACCAATTCAGTGAGTAGTAAGTCCCTTAAGTTAGCAACGTGTTTGCAAAATGCAAATAACAAAAATAATCAAAGCATTAATAAAATATGTTATCATCAGTCCTACTTTAAATGAATGTAGTATGTTGGTTCATAATATGAGCTATATGACAGGCCTAGGTAGGACTCCAGTCTGTAAACCATTCCTTCTCAGAAAGCATCCAGTTTGTAAACATGGGAGAGTGACCTATTTCCAAATGGATGGTGTGTGTGTGGGGGGGGGGTACAAGTAGGAAGGTCATGGGCACAGGTGCCTCCCAATCCCTCTATTTTTTACTAGGCCTCTGTAGATAAGCATAAGGGTGAACAGTGTTAGGGAAGGGGTTAATCGAGGAACTAGCTAAATCTTGCAATGTGAAGTCCACTGTCCTTATATTGTAAATAGAATCATAGGCAGGATTTAAGGATTCTTTTTTTATTGTGAAAATACTGTAAAGAGGAATTTTTTTGTTTTTGTTTTTGTTTTGTTTTGTTTTGATGGTCCAGTGTGGGCCTGAACTCTGGGCCTGGGTGCTGTCCCTCAGCTCTTCAGCTCAAGGCTAGTGCTCTATTACATGAGCCACAGTGCCATTTCTGGCTTTTTTCTTTTTGCTTATGTGGTGCTGAGGAATCAAACTCAGGGCCTCAGGCATGCAAGGCAAGCACTCTACCACTGAGCCAACTTCCCAGCCCCAGGACTTATTTTTTTTGAACAATTGAAATAAATACTGAAATTGTTGCAGCCACAGAAAGCCTGAGCTGAAGCACTGAAGGAAACCTCCTGTTCCCAGAGAGATATTTCTTCAGAAAAGCCCACAAGGCTCATGCTTTGATTCCTAGTTTTTATGGTGGCCAAGATGAGAGAATCTCCTTTGAAGCCAGCTCTGGATGGCTACAACTCAGTTCTTGAATTCAACACCTCATATTGGCACAAAAACATTCCTTATGAAAGTGTGAAAGTAGAGCTCTTCAGGTAACCAAACTGCTCTGGACATATCTAGAATGATTGGCTTATATAGGAACTGGAGTGTTGGTCTTGGTTTATTAATTAAGCACTTTCTGATGTAACAAACATTTTTTTCTAAATGCCTCCAGGATATCTTTAATTACATAACTATACAGTGGCATCTATCTTGGCTCTAGAAACTCTAAACTTAGGTCAATCTTTCTGTTTCTGTAAAAGAAGACAGTATATTTGTTGGAAGCCACGTTTTGGAAGATGGAATACTGGAGTCTTTATTACACAGCTAGAAGTCTGCAAGCAGCCTGTTGTAACAAAGACTTGCAGTCCACAAATACACTTAGACAGCTTGGAAACAGGACAGAAAGGAAAAAAAGAATAAAAACAACACCAAGAAACCAATCAGCACCAAGAGAGTCTGAATTGGGACACTATAATGACCAGACAAGCCAGGAGACAGGACACAGGACATGATCACAGAGACATGTGGCATGGTATCTGGTGCCACTGCTGGTGCAGCCTAAATAGGGCCTAAGCAGGAGGCAGGTCTGCAGGAAATTCGTACTCCCAGGCACTGGACTAACAGATTAAATAACATATCAGCCAAATGTCCATGCCTGCTTCCAGGGATCCAGCCACACACATCAGTTGGGAGGCAAGTGATGGATGGGGGCATTTCCTTCCACCTGCATGAAGAAAAGTTGCCAGACCCCACCATCCACCATGTGGCCAAAAGGGCACCAGCCACACCTGACCTCCTTACTTAATATTACTGAATATTAAATCAATTTATAAAATGTTACAGTCTCTTTATCATTTTGTAAACAGTTCAAGAATTTGCTTTTTTAAAAGTCATTTTTCTTGAGCTCAAAGAATAATTCTCACACTTACCAAAAATTAAACATTCTTCTTTTGAATAGTTTATTACTTCCTTCTTCATCATTCCTTCCCTTCCTCTTTCCCTCTCTCACTTCCCTCCTTCTTTCCTTCCTCTCATGGCCTAGAAGTGATGCTGTAGCTCAAGTGGCAGATATTAGTACTTTTTTCTTAACTTCAAATTTGTGAGAGATTGATCAATATCTTTGTGTGTTTGGTTATTTCCCCTAATGCCATATCTACATTGGCCCTCTATAGATAACACAGGCATGACACATCAACCACACTGGTGTTTTATTATAGCTCACTCAGAAGAGCAACTACATGGCTAAGAGTGAATCAATCACAAGTTGCTCATCACTAGTGATTAATTAAAGAAAAGAGCAAGCACTGAAGACACTTTGGGATTCTCCCCCAAGGCAAAATCCAGAGACTCTTGTCTTTATTTATCCACCATATTTTTTAAAATATATTTTTTATTGTAAAGATACTGTACAGATTATAACATTATATGAGTCAGGTCATGAATACATTTCCTATCGAGCATTGTTACCCCTCTGAGAAAGACTTTACTACTGTGTATGTAATGCAATAAGGACTAATATCTTCCATTAGATCTTCCATTCAAAAACTGAACTGGAATAAGTAAGTCATTTGTACTATAAGGCATGGATCACACATACAGAGGGAGACTTAAGGGAGCAGTAGAAAAATGGTTCTTCTCATGTTCTTGCGTCCAATCATCACATTCTTTACCTATCTATTGTTCCCCTAACCATTTTGGAGATGACCTGAAGCCAGTCCCAAAGGGCCAGAGCTCATGTTTCTAAGAAGAGTTTATCAAATTACCCTGACATACCATTCCTTAGTATAAAAGACACAAGTTAATAACTTCAATCTCTGAATTACTTGTTGTGATTGGTTGTTCCCATACGCTTTGGATAATATTGAAGGACACCATCCCCACTCAACATGATAAGAGGATGATAAATGTTGGCTCAAAGAGAGCTAAAGAGTGAAGAATGGTTTCCCATCACCTTAGCTTACCTCTGCCATGAAGGATTTCTCTGTATAATTTACAGTGGTTTTCTGACAAAGATTTTCCTACCTTGGGCTTCTTTCCTGGGTGGATGTTTTACTAATTGCTGAAGGTTGGCTTCTGGTTGAAATTCTTCCTCATATGTTTATATTTACAGAGATTCTGTCATGTGTCCAGGTCTCTGATACCTGTACAGATGTGACTTCTGGCAAAATGATTTCTATACTCATAATTTCTCTCCTGTGTATGCTTTCACATATGCTGAGGACTCACTTCTGATTGAAAGTCATTTCAAATACGATCTATTCACTATTTTTTTCTCCTATGTGAATCCGTTCTCTGATGAACATGAGGTATTCCTTTCTGATCAAAGGATTTCTATTTGTAATGTTTGTAAGATTTCTTCAGTGTGTGTGTTCTATGAACTTGGATCGATGAACACTTGGTAAAGGACTTTCCTTTTTTGTTTTTTTTGTCGGTCGTGGGTCTTGAACTCTGGGCTTGGGCGCTGTCCCTCAGCTCTTCAGCTCAAGGGAGCACTCTACCGCTTCAGCTACAGTGCCACTCCAGTTTTCTGGTGGTTTATTGGAGATAGGAGTCACACGGTCTCTCCTGCCTGGGGTGGCTTTGAACTGCGATCCCCAGATCTCAGCCTCCTGAGTAGCTAGGATTATAGGCGTGAGTCACCAGCGCCCAGCTCTGGTAAAGGACTTTCTACATTTGTTACATTTGTATTTTCTCGCCTGTGTCTGTTCTCTGATGTAAACTGAGTTAGGACTTTTTCTTGAAAACCTTTCCATTTATTTTTCCTACATAGGATTTCTCTCCTCTTTGTGTGTAATGGTGTGTGTGTGTCTGTGTGTTTTGTGTGTTCTGTGATGAACCCTGAGTTGGAGGACTCCACATTTGCTATATCATAATAACTCTATCCTGTGTTGATTCTGTATTGCAATTTTAATTTTCTTACAGATCAAAGACTTTCCCCATTTGGTACAATCCTAAGTTATTTCATTTGTGTGAATCAACTTATGTGTGTTAAGCTGTGACCTCCAGGTCTTTCCACACTGGTTGCATTCCTAAGGTTTCTCTCCTTGTGTTCTGTGATGGATGTTAAAGTGTGCCTACCAGGTGAAAGAATTTCCATGCCTGCTACATACCTAACATTTCTCTCTGGTGGGTTTTTTTCTGATGGACAGAAAGTTGTATGTTCTGGGTGAAAGACTTTCCACACATGTTACATTCATAAGGTTTCTTTCCTGTGTGTGTTCTCTGATGGACAGTGAGATTTGACTTCTGGGTGAAAGACTTTCCACACAAGTTACATTCATAAATTTTCTCTCCTGTGTGTGTTCTCTGGTGGACAGTAAGATGTGCCTTGCGGGTGAAAGACTTTCCACAAATGTTACATTCAAAAGGTTTCCATTTTGTATGTGTTCTCCAGTGGACAGTAAGCATTGATTTCTGGGTGAAAGACTTTCCACACATGTTACATTCATAAGGTTTCTCTCTAGTATGTGTTCTCTGGTGGACAGTAAGGTATGCCTTCTTGACAAAAGACTTTCCACACACGTTGCATTCATAAGGTTTCTCTCCTGTGTGTGTTCTCTGGTGGACAGTGAGGTCTGACTTCCAGTTGAAAGACTTTCCACAAATGTTACATTCATAAGGTTTCTTTCCTGTGTGTGTTCTCTGGTGGGTAGTAAGGTTTGACTTCCAGGTGAAAGACATTTCACACATGTTACATTGAAAAGGTTTCTCACCTGTGTGTCTTTTCTGGTGGACAGTAAGGTGTGACTTCTGGGTGAAAGACTTTCCACACACATTACATTCATATGGTTTGTTTCCTGTGTGAATTCTCAGGTGCACAGTAAGGTATGCCTTACAGGTGAAAATCTTTCCACACATGTTACATTCATAAGGTTTCTCTCCTGTCTGTTTTCTCTGAGGGATGATAGGGTATGTCTTCTCAGTGAAAGACCTTTCACATTGTTTATATTCTTCAACTACAGAACACTCAATAGGACTATTTACAGCACACATTTTACCAGGTTCACTGAAAAGACCCATGTTCTGAATCCCAGTGACTTTTTCTGTCCTCATCCCTAAGGAGTTCCCATTATTCTTAATCAGTTCTGACTTCTGTTTTGAGCTCAAATGAAAACTTCTTATAAGTGTCACTTTTTCCTCCCCTGGGTTACTAGTCATGCCTGTTACTTCAGAGAGATATTTATTGTGACTTTCCTGACAGGTGCTAATCACATCCTCCATTTCATGGACATCTAAAATGAATTATAGAAAAATAGACAAAAACATAAATGAGATCCATAAATTCCTTACTGTAAAGGTATTTTCTCATATTCTAACTGTTACAACATTTTCAAATATCAAAGCATTGTTTTATGCAGAATATATACTTTTCTCTGCAATGCAGTATTTAAGAAAGTAGTACTGACATTTTCCAATGCAAAATAATGTTTTTCTGTATTTCAGATTTTTCTATTTTTCTCAAGGGAGTATTTACTCAAATTATTCATCTATGTACTCTTAATGCTTCCATTCCAAATTGCCCTCTTTGCCCAGCCCCACTGATAATAAATTGTTCCTATCAGAGGATAGCAGCCCTAGCATACTCCTATTTTCCTCCTGCCTGCATAATACTAGTTGAAAATAAAACGAGATCTCCTTTTGTACCTTTCTTATTGTCTTTTTCTCTTAAAGAATGACTTCTCTACCGACAAAGAGAGTTGCTATTATTAACTACACTGGCACACCAAATTCAGTTTGTCTCCACGTGAATTCTGGATTGACAATTCCTTGAGACAAAGGACCACCTAGTTCTCTGCCATCCATGACTCAGGGGCACTAGGAATACTACCGCTCTGTACAGCTCAAGATAAACAGACCAACTGGGCCCAGGATCCTTCATCATCATTCAAGGCTTCTACTCACCTGTGAAATTCTTGTCTGAGGCTTCTCTTATCCATGGTTCTGCACCTTGCTCCAGCTTCACAATCAATTTAGGTTTAGGAACACAGTGCCCTGTGATTAAGAAATAGTAGAGAACTATAGCTCTTGCTGGGTCATCATTAATGTAAGATCACAGACACCCTCTTCACAAGGTTGATCCTAAATCTGGTTTCTCATTTGTTTTTTTAGGGGTGGGGGGTCTGGCTGTGGGGCCTGAACGATGGCCCTGGGAGCAATCCCTCAGCTCTTAAGCTCGAGGCTAGCACTCTATCACTTGAGCCACAATGCCAATTCCAGCTTTTTTCCCCTACTTATGTGGGGCTGAGAAATTGAACACAGGGCCTCAAGCATGCAAGGCAATTGCTCTACCACTGAGCCACCTTCCCAGCCCATGGTTTCTCAATTCTTAACAACTCCATGGTGGAGTTTCCCCCAGCTTTGGGTTTATTCTGCAAATTGTGTTGCTTGAAATCAGTTCTTTTGCTCAAAGCTAACATTCTGCTAGTTTGACTCTTGGCCACATTTCCAGTTTTTGAATGGTTTATTGGAGATAAGAGTCTCGTGATCATTTTTCTACAGTTGCTGGCTTCAAACCAAAATCTTCAGATTTCAGCCTCCAGAGAATCTAGGATTCAAAGCTTGATGTACTAAACTCTGTGTCAAGTTTGGCTTACAAATACACACTTTCAACTAATGATTTCCAGATCATAATGCCAGTAGTAATGTATATTCTATCTAGACTGTAGATCCACCTATAATAATCACCTCAAGTCTGAGAAGTCAGTCTCCTATTAGGGGATCATAGTTTAGGACTTTTTCCAACTACTGATTTGCCTTCATATAGAACGAGAATAAAAGTAGCTCTTGAGTTACATATAATGAAGTTGAAGTTTCCCTTAGAAAGAAATGATACTTCCCGTGGAGTGGTCTTTCTTTCTGTTCTTTTTTTTTTTTTTTTAAGAAAATGTAATGATCCAAAGGCTTACACCTGTAACCCTACAATTAGGAGGTGAGATCAGAAGAGGCAGGCTTGAAACCAACCTGGGAACACAAACCCAGAATGTACCCCAAAACAAAAGCCAAAATGGAATTGTGGCTCAAGCAGTAGTGCTAAAGGCAAACAACACCAAGCTCCCAGAACTGAATTTGGCTGGCTTTTATACTAGCAGTTTTTTACCTGGGAATGAATTGGTATATTAAACCTAAATAACTTAAACATTCAAATATCTACTAAAATAAAAACACTTGATCTTCCAAGTAAAAATAACCTTTGCTCACCCAAGGATATTAGGTTGTTATAGGTCTCCAGCATTACATCTCTATGAAGAGTCCTCTGACCAGGATCCAGATCCTGCCACTCCTTCCAGGTGAAGTCCACAGCCACATCATCAAATGATATCAGCTTCTGTAATGGCACATTTCCATCAAGAAATTAGACCTGGGTCATGAGAATTCCAATCTGGAATTTCTTTATATTGCAGGTCTGCTTTTGCCTTACATAAAATGTTTGCAGCTAGCTTTGTTATCTATTCACTGGGAAAATTAAATAGCAAATTAGAAATATTTGACAATATATAAACCTGGTCATTAAAATACACAGATTTGCAAGGCGCTGGTGGCTTATCCCTGTAATCCTAGCTATTCAGGAGGCTGAGGTCTGAGGATCAAGTCTCATGGCCAGCCCAGGCAGGAAAGTCCATGAGATTCTTTTCTCCATTAAACAACCAGAAAACTGAAAGTAGCACTGTGACTCAAGTGGTAGAGCACTCACCTTAACCTGAAGAGCTGAGGGAAAACAACCAGACCCAGAATTCAAGCCCCAAGACCAATAAAAAGTTACAGTTTCACTCATGCATGCAAACACATTTCTGCTGCTAGCAATAGAGACAAGATAAAAACTCTAAGGAAACAATAATCTGGCATGACAACATTAAGTCTAAGAAGGTATCTGAAAAATTATATTATCAGTATTTGATAAAATTTCAGTACATATCAGGGTAAAAATGGATTAAACAAATATTTTTCCTGTATTTACATATACTGCTTCACAATAAATCCTATTTAGACCTTCTATTAACAAGTACTCTCATAAGCAAGCAGAACATATTCAGGATATCACATGGAATACAGAACATAGAACATTACTAGATCTAGAAGCAGTGTCCACATGAATGTTAAAAAACAGTAACAGTACTCCAGAAAGTAGCTAATGATTAATTTCACCCTTATAAGATTTGATTGAGTTCCCACATAAAAATATCCATGGTTTACCATGTTTGGTTTAAATACTAAATATTGAAATGTGGTCATAGATACTCTGATATTTTCTTCCTACGTAAAAAACAACTGCTACCATGTAGTTTTGTAAACTTCGCATACATTCCACAATACAAAATATAGGTGGGTGGGGAATACAAAGTTCCTTGACAAGATTTTCATTTTAATAAGCCTTCATGAAAGGTGGGGGAAAATGTATAGAGGCTCAAGAAACACTCAAGATGACAAAAATGATAAAGATGACCAAAGAATCAAACGTGTTACATATTCCTCAGTCATTTCTCCAGTAGATTCCTAAGGATATATTTCCACTTGTGTTAGTTAATAGAGAAATTCCTCAGAGATCAAAATCAATTCCTGAGCAAACATATGTGAGATTTTGCAACAAGTGATATTTCTAATAGAGTATACCTCATCACTGTATTTTTTTTTTTTTATCAACACTAGTTCCAATCTTGTACTGGCAGTGAAGTAAAATATTCAAACGTAGTGGAAGGAAAAACAGTGGGAAGGAAAAACACATCGAATGAAGTTAGACCAAAGATAACAGAATCAGGAGAAATTAGATTTTTTTGTAGTATATCAATTGGAAGAAGGAAGTACTTTTCTGTAGGGAAGTTGAGCTGAAGGGGGGAAAGGTTTGAGAGGTTGGAATTCCAGCCTGATAGCACTGAGAGCACTAAGAGCTGGCCACAGAAGGGTTAAAAGAGAATTCTGGAGAGGATTAAGAGACTGGAATGAGGTTTTTTCCTTACTGTTGGCAAGACAGCATCTGAACCTGAGCTGCTATTGACCTTGAAGGCTAGGTAAGGTGAACTTCACATCTGCATTTCTCTGGGTGGCAGTATTCTTTCTAAGGAGAATAAGGAAACATGCACTCCTCACAAACTGTTGTGGCTCTGATTGTAATACTAATAGAGATACTTCATTTTGGCATGTTATCAATGGTAATCTTTCCTGTGTGCACTCAAGGAACTATGCTTGCTTGCTGGCACCCAGGGACCAAGTGCCAGAGAGCCTTAGGAACCCTGGTTTCCCTAAGTCTATCTGTTTATGTTTTTGTGTTTCTCAAAATTTCTTTGTTTCTGGAATCCTGTAGAGCTCTCTAGGCCACAATTTTCCTATACTATGGGTAAGAAAAATGTCAATCCTAAGAACCATGTCAGCAAAGTAAAACTGATCACTAAGAAAAAGTAGTTCCCAGATAGATCATTTGAAGAAAAGAAACAACTGAGACACATATGGAGGGGAGAGGGAATGAAAAAGTAAGAAAAGAAGTGGCGCTGTAGCTCAAGGGGTAGAGTGCTTGCCTTGAGCTGAAGAGCTGAAGGACAGTGCTCAGGCCCAGAGTTCAAGCACCACAACCAACAAAAAAAAAAGTAAGAAAAAAATGATAGAAATAGATACAAAGAGAGAGAAAGAGAAAACTAATCAACACTAATGAGTAGAAAATCAAAAATAGAAGAGAGAAAATAGAGGAAAGAAATCTTGTGAGGATACTTTAGAAAACAAACAGATATTTGTAGAAAGACCATAAAGCTTAGCAACAAATATAGGCTAAGTTTCAAGTAAGACCAAGACCATGAAGCAGTCCAAGAACTAGATATGGAGAGTAATTTAAGTACATATAGGTTAATCATTCCTTAAGAACATACGAACTTGTGTATGACCACACCATTTCAGTAATTCCAGGAAAATATCACTGAGATAGTTTAATGTTACTCATGAGGATGTATGTGGTTCCAATCTATCCTTCACCTTCCATGAGAAGTAACCTGCTTGGTGTCATTACATCACATAACAGGTGTGACTACATTTTATGACAAGACGAAACCTAGACATTCTGAAGCCAATCT